GACCAAGCTCTACCATCCCCTGCCCCTCTCCTGCCATTTTGATGGCTACAGCCATCTCACGAGTTAAGATTACCCCTGACTCGAATGCAGGAAAACGCTATAGATCTGCCGATGATTATTGCTTACATAGTTTGCTTACAATTCACGATTCCTGAAATTATTTTGAAATTTCGGGGCAGTTTTGGTGGAGGTACGGGGTGTTACAAAGGAGGACTCCCTCTGCAGAAGTGGAAGTACCGTAATGCGAATGGACCACCGCAAGTGACTCATCTACACTAAGGATCCTTTCACATCAAGGCTAAGGAAAAATCCTGTTCTGCTCGGTTGAGAGAAAGATGAGAGGATGGAGGAGGGGGATGGGGATGAAGGGAGTGGGGGTGAGGTGGGGCATTTCGTACTTCCGTTAGTTCCCTTTGTTATTTCACGTTAACTAACCTAGTTAGGCCTCACTTGAGTGGTACCTGTAAGCTCTTAGAAAACTGCGGAATTACACAAGTGAGCACGATCACAGGACTTTGCACGTCATGACAAGATGGCCCTACAAGCTTCTCTTGGTACCATTTAGCGTTCCTCCCCATACCACATCGAACTGCGCTCAAAACTAGTTAGCACCATCACAGTAATATCAGAGTTTCCCCAAGGAGTCCTTCTGATGCCCCACTCCGGCGACCTTGCGCTGAGATTTGGTGCCCCTATTGTGCGGCTACCTCGACTTCAGAGGACCAGCTCCTAGCCCAAACTGCCTCGAGAACAAATCTCGCTGAAATTCTAACCCGAACATCGGAAAGGGGGACTAGAAAATGTAACTGAACGAAGATCGGGACCAAAATGCACTAGATCAGGGGGTAACGAATCCCAAATATGGAACCTTGCGAGTATAGGGCAGGGTAAGCAACAGCGCTGGGAAGATCCGTTTTCACTATAATTTCTTCTCTTTCACGAACGAATTTCTTACATGAGTGAAGTAATCTACTGATTCCAAAAGAATTCGAGAACGTACCACCTCAGGCTCTGTGTCGTCAGGCGGTGGCGCTGGTAGAACAACCGTGGATATGCTGCGTACAGCGATGTCGTCCTGCAAGAAATTTCCTCAAGAGCGGTGCAAATCGACGTGAAAATTATTACAATTCTATAAAAATTATCCGACACACGAACAATTATTGGTGGTTTTTAATATTTTGGAAAAAAATCAAAGAACCGTAAACAATGTTGCTGAGTTACGAGCAAACTTTTTCGCAGTCTGGACTTCAACCTGGACCTTGGGTTTTCCTTGCCGGTTGCTCCCTGCTACAATACTATGATCGCCTAAGGGTAATGTAATATTTAACGAATAGTAGGTAAGCACTGCTATTTAAAGGCCAATCTGAGTCCCAGCCAGGCCACGGGCCACGGAAAAAGTTTCGGAAGCAACAACCCTTCCCCGCCCCTCACTCAAATTTTTTCCTCTGGTACGACTCTCCTCTCGATCCCCATCCTACATACCATTTTGTGAAATTCTCTCAAGTTCCTACCATATTTAGTTTCTTTCCGAAAACTCTCTAGTATTTCCCTGAAAACTGTCGAAGAGCAGGAGAAGAGGAAAGGTGCAGGTGTGTGTGTACGTGAAACAGGAAAAACCGGGGAAATTCAACTATTACAAGCATTTTTCTTGAAAAACACGACCACCCACCCCTCCACCAACAACATATGACCCTTTCCCATCCCGGTAGAATTATCAACGTACGACCTTCATTGGCCCCAGCTTATTATGCTATGTCGATATAATAGTCATGGCCATATAATGCGCCAACTTGAGCGCAACAAGTCCTACTGGCAGCGCTCTTTAGTTCAGTCCAGACCTCGCCGAGCTTAACTGCAGCGAAAGGTTGAATTAACGAGGTGAGCATTAAGCTAGGGTACAAATGAAGCTTATTTAGAATTGAATGAAGTAAAACTCTAGTCCGCCTTGAGCTTCTAAGCTTTAACCAAGCTATTTTAATACTTTTTCAAAAGGCATCGTTAGTTGGAACATTTATCGATGGTCCCACCAGATCGTTTTCATTTAAGGTCCAACCAGGGAGAGGCCAGGAGAGGAGTGTTACCTGCTACCCCCCCCCCCCTTTCATACGAGAGAGTACTTTGAATCCCAGTGGCTTTGAAAGGATATCCACAGTTGATAAGGTCGCAATCAGTCCGAGCGGTCTCAGGATGGATGAGCTCACCCGCGACTTTTTCATCCTGGTTATTCTCTTCTAAAAGGACTCTGAAGATGATGTCGTTAAGTAGCAGCAGCTGCAGATGGAACAATCATGCCCCTCTCCCTCCCTCCCCCCCCCCTTACTGCTGCCGCTGTCAGGAGATTGATTTTTCGGAAACGAACCTATTTCAGGTGTTCTCACTAGGATTCCTTGAGAAACTTTAAGATTCTGAAATGCCTCAAACGTTCTCGTTTAAGAACACCTAGACGCTGCTAGTCTGGTAGATGTGGAAGAGATTCCCGGGAATCTCCATGTACGCCCTAGCGAGCGCCCTTTGGCCACAAAAACTGCTGATGTAGGCAGATGTCGTGAAGCAGAAGATTCTGCCATTCTCCAGCCATTTGTGGGTAGAATTTTAGTACCCACAAATGCCAGATTGCGTGTGCCAGATTTCAAATACTTCCGCGGCGCTGTCCGATGAGGGGTTTTCTCATGAGGTTGTTTATTTTAACGCGCCTTTAATCTGCAAAGTATTGCTTCATAAGTAGTACTAATGCTACGTGATTCTCGCTAATATATGTCGCTCGGTATGTCTGGCACTCGAACTGGGGCAGAGCACGCCACTCTCGGCTTGATCTCTGCCCCATGGGGACATAACACCAAAACAATGCTTTGTTATGAGCTGACCTACATATGTCTAATAGATGAGATTCCACGTCGTGGTGCTGAACGAGCTTGGAACGAGACTGGAATACCTGCCAAGACAGGGTTAAGAGGGATCCCATACTGATTTCAGACACTGAACAAAAAGCCCTGGACACTGGCAGAAAGATGGTAGCGGGTCATGCAGAGCCGTCAGTGTTCCTTTGGAATACGGCACCTCAACGTGCACACTCCCCTCCTCTGACGCCGTTTGATTTTGACCCTGCTTCAGCTCCTTGAACACCCCAAAAAAACCTACGATCTCTTGATTGATAGGATTAATACCACGCTGGCACTCCGAGAATTTTAAAAGTCCTGAATTCCTCGAGCATTTTCCGTTTTCAGTCCTTCCCCATATTTAAAATTGGCCCTGTATCTGTAGTCTGCCACCCCATTAACGGCTCCACAACGCCCACGTTTGACCTTTTGTGGGGAAATGGGATATTCATGTGTTTTATGCTTCTGCTACGAGGTTGTTGAGTGGAATATTTATTTTCAGCCTTACCGTCGTTGTCAATGGTCTAAACATGGCTCAAATTTGAAGAAGGGCTCACCACCCCATTGAATACGCCTTATCCTCTGGAACTTTGCCAGAAATGCGTGAAGGGGAAGAGACGTTTGATAAAATAAATACTACAACAACAAGATATGCTGAGGTTTCATGAGGGAGAAGCTCTACTATGGAGTGGAAAGTATTAAATTGCAAATAAAGCTTAATTTCCTAAAAGGCACATTCCACGAGTAGCCTAGAGGGATTATCCCCCCGCTTGATAGACTGGTTTAGTCATGCTTATCTGAATCTGAGTGGCAAGGGCTTATTTCTCAGACACCAGAATCTCTACTTAACTTAAACCCCCTTTTGAAATGTCAAAGCACCAGAAACCCACTGGAGCTCGATCTTAATAAACGGTATCCGTGTGCACCGTGGGTGAGTGGAAAGGGCACTAAAACTCTATGCCCCAAGCACACAAACACGCTTAGGCTCAAATCACACCCTGAAGTCCCCCTGAATGAGGGGATTGCCGGAAGTCAACGTCTATCGTCTCGCTTTCTCTGTGCTCTCTTTTTCCCTCGTTGTCTGGTCCCTCATTCTGTAGAATAGTGTTTCCTCGCAGTCCAATGCTCGTATCCTGCTTCAGCAAGGTTCTAATAAACTTTTTCGACAGTTCATCGTGCAGCAGCCATGAAGGCAGGGCACATCACAAGTTGGGGATTTTGGTCGAATCCGTACGACCCCCCCCCTAAAAGGTGGCTTGATACGACCCCCCCCCCCTCCCTCCTGATCCGATCCAGCTGTCGAGCGGGGGAGGGGGGCGGTGAGGTTGTGTAATACACGTGAAACTAGAGAGACAGGAAAAACCGCGTGGAAAATACTACCCCTCCTTCCCATCTTACCTATCACATTCTTAGATTTTCCCAACTTCCTACTGCTTTTCCAGGATTTTCCCAAAAATTTAGCCTCGAGCGGGGGGGGGGGGTAAACAACCCCACACCACTCTCAGAAGATCAGAAGCCAAATACGACACCCTTCTCCCAACAACAAGCAAATACAACTTCCCCATTTGTAGCGTCCCTGAAACAAGAAAAATCAACCATCAAAAAACTTCTTCCCAGACAAAATACGACCACCGCTCCCCCCAGCGACCGGATACGACCCCTCTGTTGGGGAATCACCGACGATAATGTGCTCTGCCTGAAGGCTGAGCCCATTGACAACGAAAGATTCATATCTACCATATTCATAGACTTTACCTCTGATTGAGTTTTTCCGCGCCATTTCATTTTCACGCTGAAAATCAGAGATTTCACTCATCGTTTCAACTTTAGAAGGCAAAAAAACCCAGGGATCATATGAAATCTTGGGGAGAAAAAAGGCATGACTGAGCATGTGTGTCACGCGGCTCGCTACGCGCCAACCCTCACACCTAAATATTGGTAGCATGGAATGTGCCTTCAGTATCCGGAAGAAAAGCTATAATTGACCGTCTCAATTGCCAGGTGATCGAATAACGGCAATCCCTACCATGGAGCCGTCTCGCCGGCAAATCACGATCTCCAAGCCTTCGCCTTTGTCACAGCACTGTCGAATGATGGATGACGCGATCACGTGAGGATGGCCAACTAGTACACGACCGTTAACCTGAAAAACGCTTAGGTTTTCAGAGAAGGACTGTCCCAGAACCACATTCTGAACCCTCATAATTTCTGTGACCCTTTGGACTATTGTAACCTCTCACTTGTAACCTCTCATTTGCGCACTTGAAAAAGCAGGAACACATTCAAAGGCTTAATGATACTAGGGGCGCTTGCGGTTTGAGTGGGGCATCCGATGAGTTACTCAGCTGAGTATTTACATGGTCAACAGAACTGTCTTCAAAATTTGCAGAACGATTCTCTGAACGGAGTTATGGAGGGTTTTATCCCAGCATGTCGTTTCACGTGCTATCGCGAGGAAACGTGGAAGCGTCTTTACATCTACTGAGGAATCGCTCTGAAACGTGGCAGCAGAGCGCAACGGATAGGGAGCGGGTTTCTTAGGCGGGACGTCGTAGGATCGGTTCTGGGGCAGGTTCCTTTTTTGCATTTGTCCAAGAACATAGCCGACAAAGCTTCTAACATCTCTGCTCGCCTGCACTACCCTATAAGGGAACCTGCAATCAGTATTTTTTCGAAAGTGTAGACCCACGGCCTGAAAGAGTGCTTCTGCTTGTACCCCTCGCTCGACACACGTGTCACAAGGGTTTTTGTAATGAAATATTATCATATTCATGTTCAGCGGGTCGAATTACCCCTGGGTACAAGTTTCTGGCCGAATCTGATTTTTCGGGACCTCAGGAAAAGTGGGCTATCCCTAGGCACTATGTTAGCATCAGCATTTGAGACTCACCTACCATACAATGCACTGTTTTGGAATGGGATCTCCTCCCGATAGTCAAGAAAATGGTGCAGACGGACGCGATACTTGCAAAAGTCAGTGTTCATCGTCTCGTTCTCTCTGCGCTCTCTCATCCTTGCTGTCTCGGTGGTTCCTCGTCTGGCTCTCTGTGCTTTCTCGCCCCTCTCTCGCTCGTCTGGTCCATCTTTCGGTCACCTAGTGTTTCCTTGGTGTGCATAGCTTGGAGGCTATATGCTGTTGCAAAGAAGGTGTTTCTCAACGGCTTTTCCCCTTTTTTGACATTTTGTATCAGAGCGTGGTTGTAAAATTATTTCTTCTCCAATTCTAATGAGATTACCGCAGAGTACTGAAGCCTGAATCCCTTTTTCTGACCGCAAGTTTCATACTGCAAACAGCATGTATGTAATTTGAGGCATAATCCTCGTTGATCGCATGGGCGGGGCCAGGCCTATCATTGAGCAATTTACCTTATGCGCTCACTTCCTGGATAGTTAATGCTCTCGTTCCCTGGATAGTGAAGGAAAGGGTTTATCGGAGAGGAAAGAGCAGTGGTAGGGCCGAATGCGTCCGGGTGATCAACGTGGACTGGGCCTCACAAAAAAAAAGATAACAAAAAAAAATCGGTTACTACAAGCCAACCTTAATAGCTCACTCTCCAGCCCCCGTACTGTCAGCGGGCACTGTACTTTGACAGAAAGCACGAAAGTGTTGTTCTTTGTGCGATCTCGATTTCCAGCCAACGAAATGCCCAACCCTGCCTCGGGAACTCGTTCACACGACACCAACAGTTACTCCATCATGTATCCGTATTTTACCGCTTCAATTTGCTGAAATTTCCTTTGATTCCAAATACGTTGCCGATGACATACACAGCCGTAGTTGAACCTACCCTGGGTGTAGCCAAATTTGCTCTCCTCTTCCTCATCATCAGAAGCTTTTGCGAGTTCAGCAGCACTCGTTGAAGGTGAAATTGTTGGCTCAGCCGATGTCGTAGTACCCTGAATCTGGTAGGAATTCTCACGAAAACAAGTGACTAGTGGTTGTGAGTTTAGAGGGGGTGCTTAGTAGCGATCAAAATAAATAAACAGTAAACAAGAGTCTCATTGTTAAAGGGGGAAGCGGACAATTTGAGTGACCCTGACCTGAGCCGTGGATGTGCTGGGCTCGTCTTCATGAGCTTCTGAACTGGACACGTCTGATACTATCAATGGACCCGACTGAAATTATTCATTTCTCACAAATATCTGAATTTATGGGCTTACTACTGAATTGTTGAGCGAAATATTTTGTCAAATTTGATTCATTTTCAGAGTCCTAAAAATATGGGGATATTTAGAACAAATAACTGCCTGGTAAAATATTGCTGTTTCATGTCAAGTTTTTAAGTAATCGTTTTGATGAGCGTGAATTTCCCTCAACACCTTTTATGGGCCACCTGATCCAGAGCGGTCGCATCGACAGGGCACATCATTGTTCCGGGTTTCCACAGGGGCCGTATCAAGCCGCTGGGAGAAGAGGAGGGGGGGGGTCGCTAATGCGCGCGGTAAGCCAAGGGGGGGGGCGCAAGTGTCAGTGCGCGGATCCAGCGTAGCGAAACTTGCTTTGTAGAGAACCCGGATATGTAAAAAAATATTACAAAACTTACTTTGATTAAACTATCCGAAATTGACTGGAAAATATTAAAAAAATCGACATCAACTCGTAAGTAGGTATATCCTCAGCCCTCTTCCTGGAGCCTTTTTTGTAAATGGATTTTCGTGAACGCTCCGCCCCTTTTCCTAGCTATGCTGACCGCCTTGTTCGCTGTGCATGCTAGGACATAGGCTAGAAGGCTGGGTTTGGTGCGGCATCTCCACCATTCCACCATTGTTGAAGCGGCAATAAATTGTGAAAAATGTGCTGGCGTCACGCCATACCCGCCTCCCTTGACACACCCCAGCATCCGCAGCGAACAAGACTGTGCCTAAAAAATGAACTCCTACAAAATTCGCTCGCTTCTAGTTCGTCTAGTGTAACCGTAAAGTTGTCTTTAGAGTCTTTTTTTTGCAACATCCAACGATCTGCTCACATTATCCCGCGAACGCTCCGCCCTCTTTGCTTTGTTTTGTCGAATCGTACAGTGCTTATCGAAACGTCAAGTGGAGGCGTGCCGACCTGGCGCTGCGCCAAATGTGCGAACGTGGGAACGCCTCCGCATAAGGCACCAGCGGCGACTGTCTGCAATATGAACCCGCCCAATTTGTTCAAGAAATTTTGCGGAAACTGGTTTCACCCTTGGCAGCTTTGCGAACGTCGCGCCACTTTTGCTTCAAAATCTTCAGCTCCGAATGCAGGGGAACCGGCTTGAATCCTTCTCTATTGGTTTCTCTGTTGCAGACGCAAACCCAAGCTGAACCCTTTTACTGCTGGTGAGTGAAAGAAAAGTGATAAAG